CATTTCAAATGGCCACTTCGACTTGGGATCCTTCCCTTGTTAGCAGCAATTGGGAGGACAGTTGTTCATAAGCGAGTACGAGGTAAAGGAAACCATTTACTTCTTCATGTCTTCCTTTTTTTAAGAAGCAATCGGCAAAATATTTGAAGAAAATGTGATGGGCGCTGATAATGCACATGTTTATTCACCAATACAATCAAATCTTCGCTAGCAATCTCATACATATTTGTTATGCTCCTTTTTCAGATGATCGTTCTGGACGCAATAGAATGGGAATTTCAGCTACTATAGGGCTCGTTGTGCATGCTGCGGGTAAGTGATTCCTATAATTTTTCTTGTTTTTTTTCTACCTACGAGGCGGAATGCCCACAAAACTGGCTTCTCCTTACGAACTCGTCTTGTCACAATTAGAAAACACGCACCCTCTCCGAAAACTTTTTCTTTCATTTCAAGAAATCACTAGAAATCGCACTCCCATCCGTCAATTGACGAGTTCATAGTTCGCTGCATCAGAGATATAACGGTTCTAATCATAACTGCCATAAGATGACTCAGTTTTCATTTATTCTGCTTCACACTGACTCGTGCACGAAAACTGTAGGAAAACTATAGATTCCCCTTGCTGGGTGGTCGCAATGGAGTAGGTTACGGAGATATCCATACCTGCTTTGGTCGATAGTTTGGCATCGTCTATGGGCCTATTCAGTATTCTGCGATGCAAAGTGACACAACCACTCAAAGATTTTATTCATATCCCACTTTTAGCTGATGGTATTGCACTGGGTAGTGCTTCGACAATCAACAAATCAGATGTTCAACTCATAGTCTTTGTCGCTATCATGCTGCATAAGGTAATTTTGTTTGTTCTTTGTGTGACTTATAACTTTGTTTATTGCAACTAAAAAAATCGAATTAGTGGGGTTGGTTCTGGTTCAGGTAGACGTTAGATGATAGATCCTTAGGGGGTCGCCCACTTAAGCGGTTGTAAAGTTCCTACCAAGGGAATCGAAGTCGGATTGGTCATTTGAAATTGCATGCATTGAATTACTGCTGGCCGTTTTTTTCTTTGGTTGCTGATCTCAAATCTACTTCAAAATATACTGAAATTTCTCCAAACCTAGGTGACCTATTGGATATGCACTTATTATTATTACTGATGGTCGGCTCACAGTAAAAAGCACTGTAAGTTGACCAGCAGTAATAATAAGAAGGACAATCCCATAAATCGCAGAAGAACTGATTGGTTTTTGTGCTTGAAAACTCCAGCAAGTCTTCAATGGTCTTCACTTTTGACATTTCTCGCGGTCCTCGAACGAATATTTTTCTGAATATTCGCATGATGAAGATGTTATCTCTGAAAGTTGAAAAGGCACTAACCCTCTTGGTGTTTGCTCGCTTATTTTCCTGCTCATGCAGAGAAGTGTTTATCAATTGACTCTGTCTGATAGCCTTCTATAATACTTTCTTCATTTATAGGCTCCAGCTGCGTTCGGGTTAGTTTCTTTTCTACTGATGGAAGGAATCGATGTGCGAAGTGCCCGAAAGCATCTCCTCGTCTTCAGCTTTGCCGCTCCGTTCGCGGCCCTCGTCACGTTTGCAGTTGTTGAAAATGTACGTGGGAAGCAGAGACTATTTTGTGCTTTTTATTCAAACCGTTAATGACCCCACATAAATTAGCCGTGTCCTTGATGTCCTATAGGGAGAGGGCTTCATGATTTAAGGGGAACCTAATCCTTACTGTTATTGACAACTTGTAAATAGGTTACTGCTGGTAAAGATGAGCGAAAGGAGAGTACTCTGACTCGAGGTTAATGTTGTGATTATCGTTTTTCTGAAGTATGCCCACTCTTAACCTCAGGCCATGATCGCATTGAGTCTCGATGGATAAAGTGTGCGTCAATACATTTGTCAAAGAAAACGTTTGGCCGAAATGCAATATTGAAGTTGTTTCCCTTCCTACTTCTTTGACACCTCTCCTTTGGAAAGTTATCGAATGCAATTTTCTCTTAATGAGATGTTGTATGCGTCTAATCTACCAAAGTCTTAAGACATCAAAAAATATTTGTCGTCAGTACCTGAAGGCTCATTTCGTGCTCATAGGATGTGGGTAAAGCGAAGCTAAAAAAGAAAAAAGAAACGGCCTACTTGTTTTCGAAAATTTGGTGATGTAGAAATCATTGTTTGATGAGGCTTTATGATTTTAAGTACCTTCAAGCTGTTTTAAAACTTAATTTTTGACCAGATCTGTTCCAACAAATCGGCGAAGCCCTTCATTTGTAGACAGGTCCACTCTGCTCGCAAAGGAACTTTAGTTTTCGTAATTTTTTGCTCATTTAAGCTATCCTCATTACTACGGCATGCCATTTTTTTACCCCTTAATCATTTGCTCGTAGGAGCAAGAACAATCCTATTGTATTCAGCTAGGAAGGGAATCGCTGTGGTCTTCCGAGTCGTCGACTGGAGTTCTCATGCTCTTCTCGGCAGGAACATTTCTCTTTGTGGCAACGGTTCATGTCCTCCCAGAACTGGTAAGTATATGTGCACATATACTTTCTTTGCCTTTATGTAAAAATCGGAGGCATAAATTACTCCTTCGAAAACATTTTTTGGCTTTTTGTTCGCTTCTGTTTGCCAACTTCTGTTTGCTAGGGCGAAATGTTGAAAAGCCACTACAGACCTTACTGGATGGCATTTGATTGCCATTCTTTCCTTATAGGTCTTTCTTTTTTTTATTCAACAGCTTTTCTTCAAACCAGTTTTTTGAATGTAATTTTGTGAACGAGATGCAGAGTTGTTTATAGATAATTTTTCCAATAGGATAAGGTTTCCTTGAAAGTTCCCTATTTTTTGGAAAATTTTAAGGCTAATCGTACGAAGTCTGTGAAGGATTACATGCTGGTGGTAGATGCACAATCTCCTGCGACCGCGGGTCATTCACATTCAGGTATATCTTGCTTTTTTGGTTTTCCCTTATTCATTAAGATAGTAAGGTGTTAGTACATATAGTGAAAAGTGTTCGTCGTCGTTATCGCTGTTGTGGGAAGGCGGATAAGAACTTAAGTTTGCGTCAGATAGCACCTAGATGGCTCTTTTCAGATGATGCAATTTCGTAAATCATATTAGGTGCCCATTGACTGTGTCTGAATGGGTGTTTGATATCCACAGTGTGAGAAACCATAATATGCCATAAATACATTTTATGTTACCGTAAATACTGCAAGTCTATTGTCGATGTGTCTGTGGAATTGCCTCACTACGATTCACTTCGATTCATTCAGTGATGGAGTTGGGGCACCTTGCTAACAGGGCATTTCTAGTTCTAGTAAACATTATTCAATATTTCGGATCCCAGAATTTCTGAGTGGTGAATGAGTTGGGGGGGGGGGGGGGGCGAGGGAAGAGAGGGGGTAGGGTAGCAGCAACGGGAGATACTCAGATACTCACTCAGGTACTGCTAAATACTGAACTCTTGTTGCGATGTCTAGCTCTCCCTATTGTTACGTGTTATTGCTTTCGTAAAGATTTCCAGACGTTGGTGGGATCTTGCAAATACTATTATGAAAATAAAGGGAGAATGTGATCTTTTGTCGACGCTTAGCATCTCCTGTGTCACCCGTCGTCCCGTTGATCATTGATTTCTTCGTTCGGGTGAAGCTTCCATTCGTCCCTGTCGGGGGCCAAAGTTGTCTGAAGGATTGTCTCTTCTAGAGCGACATGATGTACAGCATTTCTTCCCTTCGGAGCTTCTGTGAAGAACTCTCACCATCGCGCTGGCGGACATCGTTTTAACTTCCAGGTGGTCCCGTCACTAACTGTCCTGATCCATTGGTCAACATGATATCGCATAACGTGTCCAGCCCTTATTTTCGATTTCTTGGCGTAATCAACGACATCACTGATCTTCGTTCGTTGACGAAGCTGAAGATGTTCTTTGCCTCTTTACTTCTCCTTCGATGTTTTGGGATGCTCTTCACACCGCTGGTTTCCTTTTGCTCAGATCCGGAGTTAGGTCTTCATCTTGTTGACCTCTCGACCTAGTTCAGTAAATGGAGGATTCAGAAGTATTCGTTCCGTTTAGAAAAAGCATCACGTACCGATCCTTTTCTCATGAACGTCAGATTCAGTCTTGAACCGATCTTTCCACAGGCGTTGTCAAATCGGCCAGCATTCGTTTCTCCTGCTCGATGTTCGGTTTTATGTGCACGATGTCGTCTGCAAAGCGAAGGTGATGCAAGAAGCGACGTAGACTTTCGAGCCTGCTTAACAATGGTGATACGTAGAAACCACAGAAAAATCGCAAGAAATACAACAAAATTCATTATCCTCAGTGATTCTTATCTGTCCTAATCGCTGCTGTTGTCACGTTTTAGTGGCCACAACTGATATAGGATTAAAGGGAAATGTGCTTAATACATGAGCACATTCACTGCGAATGATGTACACTAGGATACAAGCATGTGTTTTTTTAGCCCTTTCCTTACGTTTTAACGAAACAGTGCCCATTCCTATGTAGGTGCTCATCTTCGTTGTTTGCATAGTTCTGTGAAGCATGAACCTCATTGCGACTATCACAGGGCGCTCCGTGCCATAGTGTTGTAAAAAGCTTTAATCAATCTTTGATTACTACTTAAGCTGTCTTGATGAAATAGAAACCTATGACCAAACATTCCCCTTTTTGTGTAGGAGAGGTTTAATTCTCACTTACGTTAGCTTTTATCCCAAATGTGATGATTTGATTGACACATTGGTTTCTTTCGTCCCTGTACACAACTATTGCATTGAGCCAGCAGATGGCTCGTGTACGATAGATGATTTCCTTCGTCTCAGATTAGCGTATAGAAATTAATCAACTTCAGAGAGATGGAAGATTTGAAAAGGCTCGAACGAATAATGAGTAAGTTCCTCAGGGCAAGCAATCGTGAATGTTTTATTGCGAACGCATCCAAGGCAAAAGAATAATTCGTCCCAGTAGTGTCTGTTTGAAAAACGAAACTTTTCCACTATAAATGATAGCGAAACTCACACGAATTTCCCGAACGAACTAAAATCTAAATGCCTACTTTTATTGCTTCGGAAAACTTGACAGAGGATTTTGGTTTTTTTCTCATATGATTAAATCATATAGTCAGTATGTCTAGGAATCAGGTGTGACGTTCCATGGACCTACCTCCGATATACAACTGCCTCATTGTTTTTACGAAGCGTTCCGAGAGAACTTTCTCATTCTTTTCTGCTTTTTCCTGCGTCTCGTATGATTAGCTCATAGTGACACTAAAAGTGTGTCCCCGTGATCGGACGATGTGAAGGCGGAGGTGGCGTAGTGCTGAATGCGCGTACTTCAAGCATTGGTCAGAAGGATGAGTCCTGGTTCGATGCTTATCTTGCCAACTGTACCTTCATCCCTTCCGGGTCGGTTACTCGGTGCCAGACTGTCTGGAAAGAATGAGGGAACGACTTTTACTTCGGGTGGTTACCCCAAGTCATCGTTAACGCCACATACGTTCACAAACTCGATTACAAGTCTGACAAAGCTGATTGAAGGTGGAGGAGGGGTTCGCTGCCACAATGCTGAATGTCTTGATCATTTAACTTTAGACTTTAGACTTTACTTTAGATAAGCGCACCTAAAAAGTATTTTGTTCCGAGGAATACATTATTCCTCTTATTACAGTTTATTACGATTTCTATTAACACTGCAAATTACTTTCTTAATTCTCCCTTACCCCCACTTGGCTGCATATTTCTACACAGATTACGATCATTTCGCGCACGCTCCGCCCTCCCACTTTGCCTGCTCTCCCACAGTTCTGAGGGCGAACTCCAGTCTTGCCACCTACCCAAGGCGTTCCAATCTTGTCGATTGTTCCTCTTCCAAATTTGAACGCTCTATGTCCACGGGAACAAGAGTAAGGAATTTTCGGACAGACACACGCGCACGCATCTATCGCTTTGAATATAGTGGGATGGTGAGAAAAGAGATGGCTAAGTGGCCAGTTTGGCTTATCGGCTGGGTATACCAGAAGTTCAAATCTTGTTATCTCGTTCTTTGGCAATTCAAAGCACTGGTATGATCATGATTTTTGGCGAATTTCAGACTCTGATGTGAGCTGTGTGTTCCTGCAGCCGGCTTTCTTGCAATCCCGAGCGAATATCATATTTGGACGCTGAGGTGGAAGAAACGGTTGAAGTTACCCGAGTGTATAGCCTCTGATGATTAGTAATCTGATGCATATGTCAGCGTCTTGCGAGCGGTTGGGCCACGACTAGAATAGTCTGGGCTTGTGTTTTCCCGAATTCAAATCCTATATGAATGAGACGGTTTAAGAGAGTTGAGGTTTTGGTGTTTACTTACGCGATATGCAGTATCATCACAGGTATCATGTGATTCGCGAACGTGCAGAGCAAACCACTTTACCCATTTGTTAAACCTATCACGTGCCGCATGTCCTCTCAAATTTGTGTTTATCCAGCAAACTGCTTGTTTGAGTAGAGGATTTTCACCAAACAAACCTAATCTTGAGTATGAACTTGAACTTTGCAGGCGGGACGAGCTTCACAATCAAGGAGCTAGTAGCGATCATAGGAGGAGCTGTAGTACCAGCGCTGTTATCATCAGGACATTCGCATTCCTCGTGAACGATACGTGATGTTAGTAGAAGAAGTATCCAGAAACCGTTCGACATGGTCTCTATCGGAATAGGAGAGGTTCATTCTCGAACGTCTTATCCTCTCATCCCAGCCTTTCTGTGAGCATTGGATTTTCTCGAATTCCTCGTCTCGTGTGAACGTGCTACTGCAACGTTTCTTTCAGTCGGTTAGCCTTAATTTCTGACACTACTTGTACAGTTTATCAATTGGTTATAAAATCTTGTTTATAATGAATTTCTGTCAGCTATTTATTTCGATTGACTCGTTTTCGAGTGTTCGAGTATTGATTTCAACTGTGATTTGTGGGTATGGGTAGAAAGCGTCGTCACGTATGCACGTAGCACTCTAAGTTCGTCTCCTTGTTGTCTTTTCGAGACCATAAATTACGTGGAGTACTTACATAAACTATTTAAAGCCATCATACTTGTTATGAAACTATCCCACAATTCAGCAGAAAAGTCTACAGATGGAAGCTCTGGGAGGTTGCTGAAAATGGACCACTGTGATGCGGCAAATGAAAGGTTAAAGTCTTCGGATCAACCTCGTTTGAGGGATGCGCCCCACACTCGACTTTTTTTCAGAATCGTAGCGGCGTAGTGAATGCCTATGCGGCCTGTACAATGACCTGTGGTGATCAGCCGATGTACAAGTCAGTGCTTTTACCCTCCCAGACGAGTCTGGTACCAATGACCCGACCCTGGAGGGATTGAAAGCGTGCTTGACCTATGCGGATATCAATACAAGTTTCGAACCCGTGACCATGCGTGGGTGATGGTGCGCCACTTGCCACTAGACCACCAATAAATAAATAAATATTGATATATGTGCTCATGTATCAAATCAATATCATTGATATAGTTCTCATTAAAGTGAGAGTTGATCATGATTACTTCTCAAATGTTCGAATACAGTATCCAAATGGTAAATGCTCCAGGGTGACCGAAGTGCCTGACTGCCATCTTGCGTTTGTTTGAGAACATTCAAGGACAGGGTTGAGGTGGGCTGTCCGATTTTGACCACACATACTTTCTTGAACCTCATTTGTCATGTGGTGGATTATAAGTTCAAGTAACTATTTGAAGCTTCGAAGTCGCAGTTTACTAATGAATATGACTCTGAAATTTCTCCTCTTTATGGACTTGTGACCCCAAAAGTTAGCCTAAGATCGCAGTCGGGTCGAAAAACAGCCGAGATGGGGTGTAATGAAAGCCACTGAACTGACTAAGCCGACGTACACACCCAAGGTGGCGAGTTGTTAAGCGTTGTAAACGCTGAAAAGGTTGCGCCATTCGTACCGGGATCCACACCTTGCACGCAGGCAGCTTACGTCAGCCAGCTGTTTGCAGTTGCGCACATTTGAACAGCTCGTCCAAGTAGACCTTCCATGACATTGCTATTGTCACATTCTCGTCCAACCCCTAATTTTATTTTTTTTTAGGCTAAAAATTACTCCGAACTTTCGCGCTTTTTTCGGCTGTTTTGCACTATTTTGGACTACCAATTCCATTATTCATCTAAAATTGGATCGTTTAAGTATAATAAATAAATAAAACTGGTTACTCTAAAATTATCGTAACCTGTGCCTTTTACAGAGAAAATCTCAATGGATGCCTTCATACTCCGCCGGTATGAAAGCAGCCAATCCACCCTTACCAAGTAGTGATAGCTTGGGTATTGGTAAGTTACGCGTTTCACAGGCGTGAAGAGAGGTTCAAGTCTTCGTACAGTGAATTTTCGAATTTTATAAAGCTTTTTTCTTCTTTTCTGAGAAACTATATATTTTGTATTGATTATGTCTACACTGGAGTTTGAGATGTTAAGACTTCTACCTGAACCGGTTGTGCCATTTGTAGATAGAAGTATCGGGGAAAGAAGTGAACCTATACCTGTTTTTGGGCACCTTCACATTACTGCATGAAAACAACTTTGTAGAAGTGCTTGAATTTTCTTCTTCATTGTCAGCTGCCTACAATTTGCCTTTGAACACGATATCTTTTTCGCACTCCATATCAAGACTGTCACACATGGGAATTCTCAAGATAAACCAAAAACTATCCATCAATTTCTGCTCTTTCCTGGATGGGGCGATTTGTGATTTTCTAGACCAGAATTCCAAATCTGTACACAAAGTGTCTTACGTCGGACCTGCTTGAAGAGGGCTTCTGCTCGCGAATGACCAAACTTTTCGAGATGAACTCATCCGAAGATATTAAATTTTTCCCCGGAAGATCATTTTGCGAATTCGAAGAGCAGATTTGAGTGCAGCGTTCCAAAACAGGACTGATAATACATAAGACACTTTAAATGGTCACCTCGACGGGCCCATCAACAGTGTGAGATGGATTTGATACCTCAATGAGCGCTGAGATAGCTCCGAGCTTACATAATAGCCTGTTCGCTTGAATAAGTCGCCGGCCTCGGGAACATTTGAGCAGCCTCTCAATTAGGCCCTCATACTGTACAGTACAGTTATCCTTGCTGTAGCTCTGCCTACTTGGTTACCCAGCATGGCGATAGGAGTTTGTACTTTGAACTCGATAAGACAACGATAAGGAGAAAACCGCTCGTAGCGATACTAGTATTGTCAGGGGAAAATGAATCAGGTGATCTCGTCCAAACCTCCAAATTCACGGTTCGTGATGGAAACCGTCTCTGAGGGGTCACCGTTCTATCTTTCTAGGATGAACCTATGGCCTAATTTACCGGCAGATCACCACACCCAAAGGCGGAAGAGTTTAAATATTTTCGTAGAGGCTGCACTATTCACAAATATACCCATGCTGGAAATTCAAACAGCTGGTTGAGATCCATGGCGACGGAAGGCAGTCTTGTATATTTCTAGTTTCGTGTAATCAGCTCTTTGCGCAATTGCAACAACTGAAATCTCGTCCTAATATCTAATCCATCATGGTAATCTCGTACACCCCTATCTTCATTGCTTTTAGAAAGCCCTATTTTTCGCAAAATCGGCGGGTTTTTTCGCTTTTTTCGCCACCAAATCACCACTTCAAACCTACATTTCCGCTTCTCATTTTAGAAGGAGAATCTCAGAATCATCTGGCCTGTGCGTCCAACTATCGCCTTACTCCCGTCTACTCTGATCCAAACGCAATAGGGTTGGAAGCCTTAACATTGCATTTTACTGGCTGTTTCTTCTACATCTTCAACTGCAGTGTAATGTAATAGTGCAGCGCCATTCCAAGTTCTGAATATGAAAAGGTTGGCGGAGATGGTGTAGTGGCAAGTGGCGGGCATCAGACGAACATGGTCACGAGATCTAATCCCGGTTCGATTTCCACCGACCAAGCCTTCCATCCCTCTGTGGTCGGTTAATTGATACCAGACTCGTCTGGGAGGATAAAATCACTGACTTGTACATCGGCTGGCTATCGCAACTCATTGTATAGGCCACATGCGCATTCAATGCGTCACTACGATTCTGAATGGAAGTCGAATGCAAGGCGGCATCTCTCAAACGGGGTTGACCAATATCCCAAGACTATCCTTTACCCTTTATATCAAAACGAAAACAACAACAATCGTGGGAGGTGTCTGCAACAATTCCACTAAGCGCTCATCGCAGGGTTTCGGTAAGTAAGGTGCCATATGTTCCAGGTTCCAAGGTAAGTAAGGTTCCATATGTTTCGGTACCTAATTCCTGACTTTTGAATCCCTTGAGTTGTTTTCTCAAATGAACAACAAATACATACACAAATCAACATTCACATATCTGCAGACGACAAAGTATTCGAAACGAGTTTATTGTAATAGTTGCGCAAAAAGAAAAAGAAACATCGCTGATAAGAATGAAAACCGTAATCCCATAGTTCGGTTTGGTATAGGAAACCGACACATATTCTCTTGTACGACACAATTACTCTACTGCCCCACTCGGCTGCTCCTCCCACGACTTTCTTGCTCACTATAGGCGTGGTTTTGACGTGCTACACCTTTAATTATACAATTTTTGAAGTAAAACTTCTCGGGGAAGAGCGCCGAGCAGCTGCTTTTCTAGTTATTAACGGCGGCCGAATCTTCAGCCTTACAGAAATCGGTTGCGAACACTACAATTATATGATAATACACGATGAAAATGGAGGTCGCACACACACATACACACGGTAAACTATATATCACACTGTAGATAATCGGCATTTAATAAATCGGAATAAACAAAACACGCGAGAGAAAATAATAGAACCAAGAGTATGGTCCCACACATGCACTTGTTGTTGGGAGATCGAAAAGTAACAAGAAAAAAAAANAAAAAAAAAGGGTTCGCGGATAAAAAGGTATTCTGACCGCACGCTGATCATCGTAGAAATGTAAAAGCAATGGAAATGTCAGTGTGTCAGTGAACCAGAATACGCTATATACAAAGCTTTTAGGACATTTTTCAGATTTATGAGCTAACCTCGAAAGGCTAGAAGAGGTGTAGCGGTTGGGTTAGTTGACCATCATATTCGGCGTGGTAGCGACGGAAGATGACGAGGCATTCGAGGTGGTGGTTGAAGCTGGTGACGACTGCTGAGCTGGTTGCTGAAAACGGGGAATCAGAACTTTGCCACTTGAGAAACTGGATATCCACCCCTTTGGGATGAGGCCTGACAAGTTTGGGGAAAGTTACCCGAGCCTTTTGTTGCTTAGCTGCCGGGAAAAGGTGTGAATGCCTCGTTCAGGCGAATCGCACTGTCTGAAGCTCTGAGGGTTCCTAGCTGAATTTGCCGTATTGGGCCGAGTTACCTTATCATCAAAGCTACCCGATACATCCATCGTACGAAGCGGCAACAGGCGCTTACGGTATCTACTGTCTCCCGTCTCAAATCAATTAATCATTACAAACCTGCGTATTTTGCTGTGCTTGCGAAGTTGTAACCCCGGGAGCACTGAGTCCGGCAGCTTCTCTTTGACGCTTGAACTCTTCATACTCGTCTCCTAGAATGGTCGCGATTTCACTTTGCATGAACGCCCACGGCATCACACTGCTGACCAATGGGCATTTCTCTCCAGACGGGCAGTATAGATCCTGAAATCCATGACAAATGGAATCTGTAGTTGCACATATGATGAACGCCTTTCTAGGCAATGACATACCTGTCCGGTGCATTGCTTTTTGATGGAGTTACGCGAGCATGGGAAGCAGAACTTGTGAGCTGGAACGCTGGGGCACTGCACGAAATGGGTATCCTCAAGCCTTTGGTTGCACAATGTGCAACGAAGAACACGCTCTCTGAAANAAACAACAGCTTTTGCAGCAGAAAACTGTAATGATGTGTCCGAGTGGTTGTTACAGCCATCGCTCGCAAGCCCATCACTTCGGCCTTATAGCTGTCACCAAACTGACCCGGTGGCGGTAAACCGTCGTCGCTCGGCGTTGATGTCAGGATGGTCAGGGCTGTGAGTGGACGTCGGCGAAACGGACGTTGTTTGTGCGTCACCTGAAAAGTCTGAGGTTTTGCGTTGTCTCACAAGATTACGGTATAGAACGTGTGCTGTGTGTGTGTGAGGTTAAGAGTCAAACGAAGAGGTTGTGCAAGCACTTTGACCGGTTCGCGATCGCGATTCGCGACGCCCGCATTCAACTCGCGGGATTTGAGCGGGACGTGTGTCAACATGCAGCGCACACGCGGAATTTCCGTAGCAGTGGTTGACCCGTGTGCGCCCCCGCCGTCGGGACGGGAAACCGGTTCGTGCCCAGGTAAACACCCGGCGACATCGCAACCTCGCCAGATATAACAACTAACAGTGAAATGGGCCCCATTCCGATAGGAAACCAGCATTACTGGACCATTTAGGACGTGGACCCACAAGTATGACCTTGGAGCATTTTGAGTAGTAGCGAGGTCGGTGCAGTCAACGACCTTAACACGCGACTGGTACGATTCGCGACAAGATCTAGGGATGAGATAACCCCCACAACTCAGAACGCGATCTCTCTGCAGATAGTGCAGAGAAGAACTGCGGTCATGCACAGCCACACCACAGCAGTGATTCAAGTGGCTGGTCTCGATACCCCCCGAACCTCGAGTGATTCAGAAGAAATTCACGAATGATGTCATTCCGTGCTAGACGGTCGTATTGTCCTCGAAACTAGGCATGTTTTTGAGCCGGTGACCTCGTCTGCTACGCAGGACTCCTTCGCGAATCTAGGGACTCGTTTTTTCGACGGGTACTTAGCCCCATTAGACGCGCTTTGTGGGGTCGACGGACGTGGGTCATCACCAACGTCGCCGTCGACAACCAGTTGAATTGGATTGCGTAACCATTTCGCTGCGCCACTTGCACGTTTGGATAACTAGGCCGTCGGCCAAAAAGAAGATCGGTACCTGAAAACGACGACATTGTGCTATTAGAGACAATGAGGTCACGTGTGACCCCGACCATCCCTGATCGGGGGGCATAGCTCTCTGATAAACCGCTTGTCTATCTCTCTCTTATCTCCGCTAAAGCACTACGTCACACTGTACCTATGTGGACCAGGATTCACGGCCATCGGCCGGTAGCAGTAGCAGTAGCAGTAAATGTTGTCGTGAATTCGCAGTCTCGCGATCGTCGTCCATGGGGATGAATACAAATCGGTCCCGGCAGGCCAATGGACAAAGCCAACCAGCCAGTTCTCCCACACATTGCCTTCTGTTCATTTACAATTCAGTTCTATGCTAATTAAAGCAGTGGATTAGCCAGCGCCAAAACGTCCAAGTGTCTGAGCATCCTTTGATGGAAAAAATTGACCCATCAGACATCAGTTCGTCAACGACCAGTTGTCGTTCTTGTATTTGGCTGACCCTTCTTCTTTTGACGGTTCCCTCCGAGCCTCCTTTTCGAAGACTCTTGACAATCGCACAAGTTGGGCACCCATAGGGTCGCGGATATTCTCGGTGTCGGTACCCGTTGGCACGAGGAGAGGTCGTAGTAGAGGAAGTAGCACAAATAGCGAGACGCAGCCATGAAGGTGTGTAGGGAGCAGGTGACATCGGGAGACGCAGCGAGTTCATCGAAACCGGTTCCCGGCCAGAAAACCCGGTTTCGCCAGCGGCTCTTGCGCAACACACACTCTAGCTGGGGCGAAAGTCATGCAAGACGACATACAAACAGAAAAAAAGTAAGGAAACGTGAACATTTCTCAGAGTGGCATCCTGGGACGTTCGAAGATGTGAACGGAACTGACCCCTTTGAACTTTGCCAAACAGCTCGGGTTTCACGTCGTCGTCATGTTCTCGCTTTCTGCCCATTGCTGCATTGAAACCTGCTGGCAGAAGTCCGTTCATCAGCTGTGACTGGAAGCCCATTTGAACGGCTGTAAGGAGTCCTATTTACTGGATCCTTCAAAAAATCGTGTAGAAAAACCAAATTACCAACCAGGATGCAACAATTGAGAGTTGATAGGATTCCGTAGTTGTTGAAGCATTGCGATGTCCTCAACAGAGAGGCCTGTACCTTGGCCTCGGGCCAATGAGAAGAGTCTCTGTTGCTGAGCCAGTACCTGGAATAAAGTATGCTCCTTAATTTGCATTAATTAACTATTCGACCGACTTACATCAGAGATTTGAGCGAGTTGATATGGTAGGCGACTTACGTCAGTTATCTGGGCTAACTGGGACGGAAGCTGAGGAACATGCGGTTGTGGTGGAACGGGAATCACACGCTGAGGACTCAACCGACCGGCTGTTGTCGTTGACGGTTGCGGAAGTTCCTTCTGGGAAAGCTATGTTTAGTGGCCAATGGTGCGACCATACCCTTGGGACTCACTTGTGGTTGTCGGGTGGATGAAACTTCGCTGATAGGGAATCCATGAACCCTTTTCATGTTTCGCGCGTGTTCGATCACATTCTCGATCCTGTAACAATCGATTTTCATCTTATCAACGAATCACTGATCTGTTCTTAAACAATGAAGCACGGGACGTTTTCGATCGAAAACACTCATGGTTCACCGTAGCCATGAATTTCACCGTATGACGGCCCATGACCACGAGAGCAAGGGTCGCTAATCAGAGGTAGCACTTTACCCTCTCACTGATGGCGGTGATAAGATAACGGTGACGCGTTTCTGTACATCATATGTGAATATGAAAGGGAGACGTACCTGTCAGCTCCTTCATAGTTGACACAGCCACGACACACTGGCTCCACGTAGTCAGTGCACATAGCCCATGGCCATCTGGGTAAATCACAGAGGTAGCAATGTTGTCGTTGAGCGACTTTGGCGGCGGCATTCGGAAGCCCGGCTTGAGACTGCCCGTTCATCGTTGCGAGCATGCTGCAACAAACACCATCTTTTTGCTCCTCATAAGTGTTCTACGCCCACAAATACACGAGACTACCTTATAAGGAATTCAGAAAATACGGAAGGGGCAGATGAAAAGCGAAATGTGAACCGGAAAATAAATCTTGAAAATTCAAACGAATATAAGTAGTGACAGAAAGGAAACAACTGCGGGTGCCCGTTAGGAGCTGATAAGATCGAAAGTTGAGGTTCATTTTGCGAAAGCGGTGAGCGAAATTGAAAAGGAACATGACAAGAAAGGAAAAAAGGAGGAAGAAGGGAACAGAAGAAATGATTGTGTGGACGAAAGGGGCGCAGTGACGATGACGCTGTGTCGCTTCGCGTCTGACTCAAACGCTGAATCTGACGATGAATAAGCGCCCAGAAATAACGCCCTAACGGCTTTGCGAGTAAAATGCTCGTCCCTACAGATGCCTCAGGACTCCCTTAATAGGTACTACTTTCAAAAATGCAACCATCCGAAAATTTAGCCGACAGGATTCTAGAAAAGGGCAGACTCGAATCGTATCAGGCAAAACTGAGTGGTCCAAAACCATCCGTTCGAAGCAATTCAACTGCGATGAGGTAAATTCTCGAGAAGTGGGCATGCATCTCATTAGAATCTCATTTGGCCGTGCATATAATTTGGCCGTTAACATACGGAATGCGCGATGAGATCCCGTGGTGGCTCAATGAGAAAATGGCGGCCTCCATGAAAATGCAGTGGGTCCTTTCGTTTGAAAAAAAAATCTGAAACAAATGCAGCATAAATGAAGATGAGAGAACGGGTTGGAGCCTCGGGAAACTTCAAGGGAAATAGTAAAATCGGGTCGCGCGCATGAGCGATGAGTAACAGACGCGGCTGGGAGCGCACGGGGAGGGGGGGGGGGGGGGGGGGGGGGG